CATCCTTTCTGCTGCTGCCACAGTCTTCACCTTGTTTGAATATCGGATAAAACCCTAAACGTAGGCCAGAGAAGTTGATCCAAAAACATTTCTAGTGTCGATAATGAAATGGCAATAACTCGGATAAAGATTTGATTGATGCAGTGGCACATACCAGGACGAACCAACAGAAATGAGGAGGAATGAACTTGACCTGATTCTGGGACCTATTTATTCATGACATATTTAAGTATCAATTAAATTAAGGAAAAGGCCATGTATTCAAACCTTGGTTTCTAATATTCAAAATTTTGATTCTTCGTAATTATTTATATATTTCAAACTTCATCAAATAACATCATGTGCAAAATCCGAAGAATAACATGTTAAATGAATGTTGTGCAAATGGAACAACTGCAGGAGCTTGTAAGAAACAGATTAGCTTGTCACAGATTGGACAGTTTGCTGATCTCTCCATCCACTCATATATGCAACCGAGGTGGTAACCGTGGGAACATCGAAGAACTATTTGCGGATTTTCAGGATTGTACGCTGCGACGGAGAACCGATCGGCGAAGTCAGTCTATTAAACAATGTACATTAAAGCCCCATTTAATAATTACTTGATCATATATATATATATACACCTTCAAGACATGTGGAACAAACATCCTCGTCTTCTGATGATGCATTGGCACAAGCAACTTCGGTTTCAAGTTTCTTGTATGAGAACTTCGATCCGGACTCAATTGCTAGTTTCCATTTAAACCGGTAAACTGCGGATGAAGAATTAATAAGACTGGATGAAGCTAGAAACAAATAATTTGAAATTATACCTTGTCCCACAAGGCACGGATACAGTTCCGAGTCCGACGAGGGGAAACAAATTCGGGTTCCCGGATACAGAAACAAGAACAACAAGCTCCCATGATTCAATCTTTAGTTTACTTCTCAACCTGAAACAATTTAGATAGAATCATCTTCATCGATGAAAATCAAAGGGACCTTGACAGTGAAAAGAGAAAAATAAAAGGGATTTCATTACCTTGATGAAGACAGTGATGGAATTACTGATGTTTTTGAAAGTAAAGACTTTAATAAGCACCCAAGAATTTAGTGCCTTCATTCAAATTAAAAAACAAGTTTGAATTTAATGGTAGTATTTGGTGGAAAATAAAATATTCTAAAGTTGAGAGATTTTCGGTTTAACATTTATAGTTTAAACCTAAGCTGCCTAGGATTTTATATTTTAAAAGCTAAATTGTTATATTTATAATAAAAGTATTAATTTACTTTTTAATTTTTTTTAAATAAAATTAAGTTTTCATTAAACATAAAAGTAATATAAAATAAAAATAATATATATTCTAATATAAAAGCTCAAAAGACGTGAAGAACATAAAGTTAAAACCTTCATTCAAAACTAGACCCAATATTAATATTGTAGACACTCATTTTCGTCTGAAGTTATTTTGTTTTATATATATTTTTATTATATATATATATATATATATATATATATATAACTTGTAAAAATGTTTTTGATAAAATATAATATATAATTTTCAGAAAACGATTTTCGAAAATTTATATATTGTATAGTTTTGAAAATATTTTTTAAGTATATATAATATAGTTTTGAAAACATTTTGAAAAATTATATAATATATACTTTTAAAAATATTTTTGGAAAAATTATATAATATATAGTTTTTAAAAACATTTTTGAAAAATTATATAACATATACTTTTAAAAACATTTTTGGAAGAATTATATAATATATAGATTTTAAAAACATTTTTGAAAAATTATATGATATATAGTTTTAAAAATATTTTTTGAAAACTTATATAATATTTTTAAATCATTTTCAAAACTATATAATATATAGTTTTGAAAACTTTTTAAAAATATATTATATAGTTTAAAAATAGTTTTTGAAATATATGTTATATAGTTTTAAAAACAAATTTTTTAAAATATATATATATTGTATAGTATAGTATATCATATATATATATATATATATATATATATATATATTCATTTTATTATGTTATTTATTTTTATTATTTATTTATTATTTACTCATTTTTTTTGTTAGGTCTAATAATAAATCACGATCAGGGTTCAAAATATAGTCCAATACGTATGGGCTCGATCCAGCCCGATTAAGTTTAGGGTTGTCACAACCCTAACATTAGCCATGTCACAGCGCCGCATAGGAGGTTCCAGAAGCATAGAGCCAAGCAATCAACGCCCAGCGCCCATTTCGACCGCACCAACGAGACTGACCCATCCCGAGGCGGCCGGTACCACGAACGAGAAGATCGGAACAAGCAACAACCCACACCCCGTTATTATCGGGAGCCAAACAACCAACACCGGGGCTATAAAAAGCCCCCGGTGAGGGCAATGAGAAGGGGGGGCCATCATTTGACCATCATACAAGATAACCACCAACAGAGAGCAAATTGAAACCAACAGTGGAACGAGAACAAGCCAACATCGAAACCACACAACAATAGTACCACCAAAAAAAAAAGCCAAAATACCAACAAAAATCAACCAAGGAGAAACTCGAAGCCATTCGAACAAAAGCAAAAGAAAAAAAAATGAAAAGTTATTCGTAGATCTACGGACTTTGGGTAATTTCCAGGCGAAACAAACCCCGGATCTGCAACGAGGGTGGAAAGACGAGTCAGATAGTGCCCCTCTCTACATTTTTCGACATCGACATACGACGGCGGCCAAAGCGGCGAAGAACCCACCGGTGGCAAAGCGGTTGTTCAAGCCTTTGAGAGAATTTCTTCTCTCCCCCTCTCTTCTCTCGGCTGAGAAATAGAACAAATGAGGGATTATGTGATTTATGGCCTAATTTTGGCCTTTTATATCGCGTGCAAAACGGCGTCGTTTTGAGGAGGATTGTGTCTGTAACTTCACGTAAGGTTAAATTTCACTTAGGATCCCTAATGCTTTGTGATTTAATTTTATAGCCACTTGATGAACCTTTGCCTTATTATATTTTGAGCGTTAAACTTTCAGTACTTATATTTTAGTCCCATTTTTTATGTTTTATGTTTTTGTGCTAATATTTGAATTTGACCCTTCTATTTGTGTATCTTCCGTTTTGGTAACTAATTTGGCATGAAGTTTTAGGGTTAATCACTGTTTGGTCCTTCATATTCTTACTCATTTTATTTTATTATATTTTCCTTTGCTTTTTATATATTATTTATTTTTAACATCTTTTATATATATATACTTACTTTATTATTATTTTTTACATTCTTCCATTTCTTTCGATTTATTTAATATATATTTTCTTCCCTTTTGATTTTCTGTTGTTTATTTATTTATTATTTTTATTATTTTTTTCGCTATGTCTTTTCTTTAATTTATTTAAATTTCTATTTATTCTTTTTTATTTCCTAACATTTTTGGACTCTTTTTAAGAATTTCAATCGATCAAAGTTAAGTTTTTTCAAATCGAATACTTTAAATTTCAATTTAAATTTTTAATTTTTGCAATTAAAGACAACCGACAAATTAATTGGTACCGAAAGGGCGGTTCAAGGGTGCTAATCCTTCCTTGACCATAACCGACACGTTTCTAGTACAACGTAGATCAGGTAAGATGGTGTCCGACCAACCTAAATTCGTTTTAAAGTGGTCGGTAACGACTCTAATTCATTTAATCTAAGTCGGAGCCCCAATTCCGGGGCCCAACCGAAAGATAGTTCCGACAGCTTGGCGACTCCACTGGGGAGAGGTAAGTGAGTCAGGCCAGAGTTAATTTTCGATTGTCTTTTTATGCAAAAATAGTGAATTTAAATTTTAATTTATTTATTCGATTCAAATTATTTACCTTTGATTATTTTTCAAGTAAATAGTTGTACTGATATTTTTTTCAATGATTTCAGATTTTTTTTAAATAAAAAGTTTCATCTCAGGCTCTATACCCGAGCTCCAAACCCTATTTAAGTGGGGTGAAAGCGATGCCTTCGTGTGAATTTATTCACCGTGCAGGCCTAGCAAGTAACCTTTGGGATTTATATACCTTATGTCTTCGTGTGAATTTATTCACCGTGCGGACATAAGGGAATGTTTCCTCTCGAGTTTAACTTAGTCCACACAAGCTTGTAATGGGCTTAGGACTAAGGGTCTGGCAAGCCCAAGGGGGCACCGGAAAGGAGAACTCGAGTACCTTTTTAGAACATAAACCGGGAGAGTACAGGGAATTAGAGCCCACCCCAAAGCCTCATTCTAAACTCTTGGATGCCTGAATTATTTTTTGCTTTACTTTCTGTTCAAAACATGCGAACTAGACAAATATGCGGTTTATGATTTGTTTGAAATTAGCATGCGGAATAGAGATCATGTCTGAGTAGGAATTAAAGCATGTGGGGTAGATATCATATGGGGTATGATTTTTTATTTTTATTATTTTTATTTTTATTTACATCACTAACTCTTTTTATTTTTTGTTATCTTTCATTTTGTTTTCATTATTCGCATCATTTAAAAGATGTATTGATCCACTAAAAATGTGTTTGTTAAACATGAATAATCTGTATTAATGGACAAAGGGGTCGTAATACAAGAGATGAAAATGCAGAGGACAGTCAAGGCGACTATGTGTCACATTCAATCTAGAAGATGTGGTGCCCACAATTGAAGAGTATATCACTCTGTTGTATTATAAAGGACTCAGAATGAACAGGGTCTACATCAAGCACAATGAAAGTCTATCTTTGAAGAACTGACTGGTAAAGGTTGCAGAGCAAAACGAGGAAAAAGTTACAGACCTGGACGCTCCTTTCGAAACTACGAGAACAAGATGGTGAAACCCTAGCTGAGCTGAATGCCATTACTGACGAATCCAAGAAGCAAACTTCGGATAGTTTCTATCGATGGAGGGCTCCAATGGTGTTGTCGTTAGGGAACAGACTCAGCAGAGAGATGAAACCGGAGGTGCAGTCCTTCGAGACTTTCTTTTGGGGCAAACAATTTTTCATTTGCATGGTTCATCCAGAGAAGCCAGAGCGGTTCGACATGTTATTCAACCGGTGACAGACAAAGGCATAAAACTAGTCAACATATCAGAAGCTGTCAGGATATTTTTCTCTTAAAAGATAAAACATTTTTGTCCCCAATAAGGATTATTCCTAATAACAGACACATTTTTTGGATCAATGCCTCAAACATTGCATGCATCATGCATTTCTGTGATGAAAAGTTGCAATTCTTTGAATATCAACTGAATTAAGAAGCTCTGTAAATGGTTCAAAGTTATGAATCCCTGACAAAGTAACATGATTTAAAACAATGACTTTGACATTACCCAGAATATACACTCAAACACCGTACCATGCTCTTGCAATTAACCAATGTGACATTTTCCTTTCATAAGGTGCGGACAATATGAGGCATCCTTTTACATATGACATTACTATACTTTTTATTTAAGGCGTTCAGTGATGATAATAATCTTCACAGATGGAATAGTCGAGTAAGCAAATCTAGTTTAGGCCAGTTGCTTGAAAATTGAACTCTAAAGATGAGATTCCTTGACTTTTAACAACACTTAGGCTATAACAGGTTCTTCTTGACAATCTTAAGAAATTAAATCTGTAAAAACTGAGTTATTCCGCTAAGGCAATTGGTTATAGAGGAAACTCGAAAGCCCTGGCCTTATGAGTAGATTATGTTCAAACCATGACATTGCTCGGACACTTGGCAATTCGGTGTTTACTCCACTGCTCTTATCAGGCTGAAGACTCTGTGATGAAATGAACCCTTCAGTTAACTTGATAAGAGTGATTATAATATTAAGCTGTCCCTCTAAAGCAATTGGTTAAAAGTCTCGGCTTTATGGATTCAGTTAGCCAGTTAACGACAAGTTAAATCAAATTTATCAAAGCAAGAAATTTTCGGTAATGATGGACTAAGGGAGTTAAGGAACACATGTTATAGTCAAATTCACACGAGCACTCAAGAATTTCATTTTTAGACCGATATTTCTGCACTACCTTAGTTAGAGAAGCTTACAAGCTTGAACAAATGGAAGATTTCAGAGGACCGAAATAGAAGGTCTAGTAATTGATCAGGCTAGTTGCGTCATTTTATCAGCACCCAATTGAAATGCCAAAGCATATTGCGATATTTAAAAAAATGGCATTTTGGGTTACCGAAACCTTAGAAAGGAGGCCAACCTAAAGCCAATTCATCCATTTGAACATTTGTCAAAGAGCTGTAACTCTGAAAGCGTTAAAAGAGCTATTGTTTCCTTTGATATTCTTTGAACTCAAGTTTATAATTTGATTCAATTACGAACAATATTTTATAGAATTTTTATCTTTTTCCCTCCTAAAACAAGAAAAATGAGGAAAACATTTTCAAACAGGACAGTCTCAAATATGAAAGGTCTGTAAAGCCAAAGCTCGAGAAGCAAATGGGGCACGATCGATTCCATGGACCAGATTGGCAGACAAAGCACGAGACTCCAATCCAAGAGATAACACATAATTCATTCATGTTACATGCATCTTAGACATTATTAGGTGCATCGCATTCATCATTTTAGCATACATGATTTTTACAGCTTTTAGAGTCAAGTTTTGACTTCAGGATGAAGGATACTCGATTCGCAAGCGCCTTTAAAGAACGATGGTAGTTGTTTAACTCAGCAGTGAGAAGCTACACCTCAACCGACATGACATATCTACAGATCTCAAAATGAATTTCAGATAGGTTCGAGAACCAATTCAGATCAAATCCAATTCAGCTCAACTCAACAATGAACAACATGTTTCCAGTTAATGTCTTCAAGCCAGATTTCAATTCCACGACAGAAGATATCTGACTGACGAAATTTATCAGCGGACTTTCCTGTGAAGGGAAGCCATCCAAAAATCATATTACTTGGTTCAGACCCGCTCAAAGGAACCACCTGAAGAGCTACGACCGGCTTAGACCTGTGAAGAGAAGCCATTTTTTAAGGCAACATTTGTAATATAGCTCAAGACAAGAAGGAATATTTACCAAACAAAGACCTTCGAGTTCGACTACGCTCAGCTCCAAGACACATCATTTGCAGCATAGCTTAAGTCGATAAGGGCTATATGCCAAAGACCTCCGAGTTCGATTACACTCAGCTTCGAGGGCATATTATTTACAGCATAACTCAAGGCTATAAGGGTTATCTGTCACCAAAGACCTTCGAGTTCGACTACTCTCAGCTCCAAGGCACATCATTTGCAGCATAGCTTAAGTCGAGAAGGGTTATCTGCCAAAGACCCTCGAGTTCGATTACACTCAGCTCCGAGGGCATATCATTTGCAGTATAACTTAAGTCAAGAAGGGTCATCTGCCAACAGAAAACCTTTGAGTTCGACTACGCTCAACTCTAAGGCACATCATTTGTAGTATAACTTAAGTCGAGAAGGGCTATCTGCCAAAGACCCCCGAGTTCGATTACACTCAGCTCCAAGGGCATATCATTTGCAGTATAACTTAAGTCAAGAAGGGTTATCTGCCAACAGAAGACCTTTGAGTTCGACTATGCTCAGCTCCAAAGCACATCATTTGCAGCATAGCTTAAGTCGAGAAGGGCTATCTGCCAAAGATCCCCGAGTTTGATTACACTCAACTTCGAGGGCATATCATTTGCAGTATAACTTAAGTCGAGAAGGGTTATCTGCCAACCAAGGACCTTCGAGTTCGACTACGCTCAGCTCCAAGGCACATCATTTGCAGCATAGCTTAAGTCGAGAAGGGCTATTTGCCAAAGACCCTCAAGTTCGATTACACTCAACTTCGAGGGCACATCATTTACAGTATAACTCAAGGCTAGAAGGGTTATCTGTCACCAGAGACCTTCGAGTTCGACTACGCTCGGCTCCAAGGCACATCATTTACAGTATAACTTAAGTCGAGAAGGGCTATCTACCAACCGAAGACCTCCGAGTTCGATTACATTCAACTCAGAGGCAAACCAAATTTACAGCATAGCTCAAGGTAAGAAGGGCTATCTGTCAATAAATTGTCGAGTTCGATTCCATTAAGCTCGATGACACCTCAATCACACTATTGTTCGATTACAGTCGGGGTTTTCAAGTCGAGAAGAAGACCTTGGTTAACCGTGCCATAGTGGAAAAAAAAATTTGGTTTTCCGACAGCATAGCTTAATTCGAGAAAAGCTATATGTCAACGAGGACCTTTCGAGTTCGATTTCATTCAGCTCAAGGGTCTATCAACCACATGGCGGTGTCAAAGAATTACTTTCTAGTCAAATTTTTAACTGAGGTCTTTAAACCGAGAAGAAGATCGAAGTTGACTACAATTTGGCAACGAGAAGCCACATCCCGATTCAAATCCCGAATTGCGGCTTCAATTCTATATCATTTCAAGATGGACTCAACTTCGCGACGGATGAGCCATTCAGAACTCAATTCGACATGGAGTTATTCTTTAACTCCACCGAACAAAAATTTGTGTTTTTTTGTCTTTGTCCTATTTTTCGTTCCACGAAAAAGGACAAAGAGGGGCAGCTCTAGACACTCATTTTCGCCTGGAGTTATTTTGTTTTATATATATATTTATTATATGTATATATATAGTAATATAACTTGTGAAAATGTTTTTGACAAAATATAATATATAATTTTCAGAAAACGATTTTCGAAAATTTATATATTGTATAGTTTTGAAAATATTTTTAAAGTATATATAATATAGTTTTGAAAACATTTTGAAAAATTATATAATATACTTTTAAAAATATTTTTGGAAAAATATATAATATATAGTTTTTAAAAACATTTTTGAAAAATTATAACATATACTTTAAAAACATTTTGGAAGAATTATATAATATATAGTTTTTAAAAACATTTTTGAAAAATTATATAATATATAGTTTTAAAAATATTTTTTGAAAACTTATATAATATTTTTAAATCATTTTCAAAACTATATAATATATAGTTTTGAAAACTTTTTTAAAATATATTATATAGTTTAAAAATAGTTTTTGAAATATATGTTATATAGTTTTAAAAACAATTTTTTTAAATATATTGTATAGTATCATATATATCTATATATATATATATATATCATTTTATTATGTTATTTATTTTTATTATGTTATTTATTATTTACTCGTTTTTTTTTGTTAGGTCCAATAACAAGTCACGGTCAGGGTCCAAAATGTAGTCTAATATGTATGGGTCTGATCCAGCCCGGTTAGGTTTAGGGTTGTCATAACCCTAACATTAGCCATGTCACAACGTCGCATAGGAGGTTCCAGAAGCATGGAGCCAAGCAATCAACACCCAGCGCCCATTCCGGCTGCACCAACTAGACTGAACCATCCTGAGGCGACCGGTACCACGAACGGGAAGATCAGAACAAGCAACAACCCACACCCCGTTATTTTCGGGAGCCAAACAACCAACATCGGGGCTATAAAAAGCCCCCGGTTAGGGCAACGAGAAGGGGGGCCATCATTTGACCATCATACAAGATAACTACCAACAGAGAGCAAATCGAAACCAACAGTGGAACGAGAACAAGCCAACATCGAAACCACACAACAACAGTACCACCAAAAAAGCCAAAATACCAACACAAATCAACCAAGGAGAAACTCGAAGCCATTCGAACAAAAGCAAAAGAAAAACAAAAAAAATACGAAAAGTTATTCGTAGATCTACGGACTTTGGGTAATTTCCAGGCGAAACAAACCCCGGATCTGCAACGAGGGTGGAAAGACGCGTCAAATAGTGTCCCTCTCTCTATTTTTCGACACCGATATACGGCAGCGACCACCGGTCTGCGGTGGCCAAAGCGACGGAGAACCCACCGGTGGCAAGGCGGTTGTTCAAGCCTTTGAGAGAATTTCTTCTCTCCCCCTCTCTTCTCTCGGCTGAGAAATAGAAAAAATGAGGGATTGTGTGATTTCTGGCCTAATTTTGGCCTTTTATATCGCGTGTAAAACGGCGTCGTTTTGAGGAGGATTTTGTCTGTAATTTCACGTAAGGTTAAATTTCACTTAGGGTCCCTAATGCTTTGTGATTTAATTTTATAGCCACTTGATGAACCTTTGCCTTATTATATTTTGAGTGTTAAACTTTCAGTACTTATATTTTAGTCCCATTTTTTATGTTTTATGTTTTTGTGCTAATATTTGAATTTGACCCTTCTATTTGTGTATCTTCTGTTTTGGTAACTAATTTGGCATGAAGTTTTAGGGTTAATCACTGTTTGGTCCTTCATGTTCTTACTCATTTTATTTTGTTATATTTTCCTTTGCTTTTTATATATTATTTATTTTTAACATCTTTTATATATATATATATACTTACTTTATTATTATTTTTTACATTCTTCCTTTTCTTTCTATTTATTTAATATATATTTTCTTCCCTTTTGATTTTCTGTTGTTTATTTATTTATTTATTATTTTTATTATTTTTTCGCTATGTCTTTTCTTTAATTTATTTAAATTTCTATTTATTCTTTTTATTTCCTAACATTTTTGGACTCTTTTTAAGAATTTCAATTTAAATTTTTTAATTTTTGCAATTAAAGACAACCGACAAATTAATTGGTACCGAAAGGGCGGTTCAAGGGTGCTAATCCTTCCTTGACCGTAACCGACTCTCGAACCCGACACGTTTCTAGTACAACGTAGATCAGGGTAAGATGGTGTCCGACCCACCTAAATTCGTTTTAAAGTGGTCGGTGGTGACTCTAATTCATTTAATCCAAGTCGAAGCCCCAATTCCAAGGCCCAACCGAAAGATGGTTCCGACAAATATAAATGTGAAAATTGAGAAAATTAATTTGATAAATTATTTCGTGAACAATTCTAAATATATAGATAAAGTATTATAAAAAATATCTAATTATACAAAATTGTAGACTTTTTCTAATCAAGAGATATACCATAACAAAAATAACACGTAATACCAAATTATCATAACGATAAATAAAATTATACATTTTTATACTTTTTATGATAATTCATAGTTAAGTTTCAAGTTCGTAATTGCTTTTTTTTTTTATATATATGTAGTGGACCGTTTGCAACGTTGCCTTATTCTTAGAAATCTAGAAGGGGAGAAATATAGTAGTCTTTGTCACATCATGATTAATTCTTTGTTTTTCAAGGATTGATATTTAGTCACTGAAATTGAAAAGTAAAAATTTGAGAAAAAGTAAAGAGTAGATTCTATCATTAGTCATTAATTTTATTGTCAATTTTTTAGTTTAACTACTGAATTAATTTTCAATAAAAATAATATTAATATTATTTATGTGTTTTAATTATCAATCATTAAAAATTTAATGACTTAAAAAATGAGAATATTTTTACTATAACTTTTTTATAGTAATTAAAAAATATTCAAAATTACAAAGAAGTTCGAAAACTAAATACATAATTAGAATATTTTCTTATAACCATTGACACAACAGTCACTCGAGAACATTTAAGGATCATACAAGAAAAAAGTTAAAACTCATCAAAGAAACTCGAAAAAAAGACAGATAAAGACCACTGATAAACGCAAATCAAAATCAAGCGTTGTGGGAAGCTATCTATGAATGCCAAACCATGTATCTAAGTTCAATCCGAGGTCCAAAGTAGGAAAAATCAACGGAATAAAAAATAAGCATTGTCTTGATAAGTTGAGGCAATATTAAATCCAATCTTTAAAAAAATTATAAAACAATTAAAACGTGTCATAAATATATATGAAAAAAATACCATAAACGTAGAATTATTAAAAATAAAAAAAATAAAAATATAATATGCATATAAAAAATAAATAAGAAATAAAGAATACAAATGACCGACTACCGATATTAAAATTGATGACACTATGTGTAAAATAAAATAAAAGGAAAAAAAGCGGAAAAGATTTAGGGTTGAAAGAAATTCATATAGTAGGATAATAAATAACTATAACTTATATATAAGTCCAATTTATCATAGAAAATTGATATAAAATAAAATATTTTTCGTAAATAATAGAAAGTGGACAAAATGTCAGTGTGAAAGCCCTCAAGAAAAACCTATGGCCAGAACTAATTATATAAATATAAGTCGTAGATTGTACGGCGATGTAACACCGTTGAACAAGTTTAAGTTTTTCAAATGTTGGATTCCGTTCAGTTTGATTAAAGAATTTCATTTTCTCCAATTACTAGTTAGTTGAACGAGGCCGCAGCTTGTGGATGACTGATCGCAGTCAAACCTAATATTTTGACCTTCACAATTCTCGTTTATTTCTATGGATGATCAAGTAGACGTCTTTCGCTGTAATCATTTACAAAATTTTAAATTTTCATATAATTTAATTTAGATAAATTATATATATTTCATCAAAATTAAGTGTACTATATGAGTCAATTTAAATTAGTAAAAATAAAATCTTAGAAAATAGAAATATAATTAAAAAAATGAATTTTATATGTTATATCCTAACATAAAATTTATGTATATTTATATCAATGGCTTTAGTCATAGGGTGTAAGATCATCGTAGCTTGAAATCATATTAAACACTGCAAAAATCTATTCGATTCACCCGTTAAAGAAAACAGACACCATGGGAATGCTTCTTCTCCTTTTCACAGCTTCTTTGTGCATTTACCTCCTCATTGCTCTCCTGTCTGTCGTCTACAAGTACTGGTGGATACCTCATCGTATACAGTTCATCATGAATTCCCAAGGAATATATGGACCTCCTTATGAATTCATCCATGGAAACAACAAACAAGTTGTTCAGATGCAAAGGGAAGCATTAACCAAACCCATGGGTTGACACATGATTTTCCCCAGAGTAATGCCTCATTATAATTCTGGATCGACAAATACGGTGAGCGTTTATATTTCCTAGTTAGCTTCCATGAAGAAAATTTTAATTAATTTCTTTTCCAGGGAAGAACTACTTAGTTGGAATGGAGTTCAAGCTCAACTCGTGATTACAGAACCAGAACTGGTGAAGAGGTGCTCAGAAACAGTGAAAAAGCTTTTACGAAGAGAAAACCTACGTATATCTTCGAGAAGATATTGGGCGACGGGATTGGCACAACCGAAGGAGACAAATGGTAAGACAAGGAAGTTGGCTAATTACGCCTTTCATGGGGAGATATGAAAGTAAACTTTTGTTTTAAAGATATATTCTTGTCATTATCATCGTCTATCACTAATAATATATGTATAATTCGATTATTAGAATATGTTTCCGGTCGTAATTTCTAGCGTCGAATCGATGCTCGAGAAATGGAAAGGTCAACAAGGCAAAGAGGTGGAAGTGTTCCAAGAGTTTAAATTATTAGCTTCAGAAGTGATATCAAGAGTAGTTTTTGGTAGCAATCACTTGGAGTGGGAGATGATTTTCGAAATGTTGATGAAGTTATCAGTATTGGCAGGCAAAAACTTTTTTAAATCAAGGATTCCCATCATCAGGTAAGTTCGTCTAAGCTTTTGCTTATAGAATACTCATGGGTTTATTCGTGTCTGGTTTGCTTTTGCAGCAACTTTTGGAAATCTGCTGACGAAATTGAATCAGATAAACTGGCAAAAAACATACATGATTCTGTGATGAAGATAGTTAAGTAAAGAGAAAAGAGAGTATGATCGGAGAAGCAGACATCTTCGGCAGTGATTTCATGGGGTTGCTTGTAAATGCCTGTCATGATTCAGATGAGAAAAACAGGCTTTCAGTACAAGATGCTTCTTTTAGCAATCCACACAGATTGGCAAGACAAAGCAAGAACAGAGGTGATGGAGGTATTTGGTAATCAAAACCCAGATTATGAAGGGATCACCAAACTAAAAACCGTAAGCAATTCTAACCAATTCATTAGCTCGGTTGATTTTCCATCTGATCAATCTGAATTAGATCAAATATGGACCATATTCATTTCATTTAGGATTCAGGTCTTTCTCCATTTTGAATATAGTAAGTTCATGTTTGATTCCTTTTCTCTTACAGATTACCATGATTATCAATGAAACTCTACGATTGTATCCTCCGGTAAACAGCACGCCGAGAAAAGTGGAAAGACAAGTCCGAGTAGGAAAACTAATGGTGCCTACTTATTTAGAGCTCGACATACGATTCCTAGCACTTCACCATGACCCTGACTTGTGGGGAGATGATGTTCATCTTTTTAAACCGGAGAGATTCGCCCAACGGATCGCCAAAACTACCAACTACAACACGGCTGCATTTGTTCCTTTCGGATTCGGACCTCGATCCTGTGTTGGAATGAGCTTCGCAATGACCGGAATAAAGATTGTTCTCTCCATGATTCTGCAACGCTATAGTTTCACCCTCTCCCCTGCCTTTGTCCACTCACCATTACCGAGTCTTGTACTCAAGCCACAACATGGGATTCCCTTGTTGTTTCGTTCCCTACGTACTGATGCTTAAAATTCTCGGCTGTTAATCTCCAGAAATGATAACAGTCTTTTTTTAATTAATCTTTCCTTCTTTTATGAAAATAGACTAAATAATAAATGGTTTGTTCTACTTATAAAATATGTTTTCTGTTTTTGTAACATATATTTTTCTTCTTCTCAATATTATGATTGACATCGTCTCTACACACGTCATTTACTTGATTATTCTTTTTATCTATGTCTACTTTAGACACTCGGATTGAATATTGATAGACACTCGTAATCACCGAAGATAGGTTATTATTGAGTTACAGTGATGTTAGTTTGTCAATAAACCATTACTGTTATATGTACTTGTATGTTGGTGTTTATCTTTCACGGTCTACAATTCGTTTATTTTGCATTTATCATTTATTTGAGTACTTTGGTTTACCTTTTATTTTTCCTTCTATAATACTTTTTTATTCTTAAATGGTTAATTTGTATATTCGATAATTTTTGAGAAAACACTCATTTTTGTAATATCTTTCTTGTAATTGAACCAGCAGAACCAAACATAAGTTTGGGCCTTTAAGCTACTGGAGTTCGTATGATCTTAAACCAACCCAACCACAGTACATTGGGCCGAAACAAAACGATTGGAAATTATAAAGGGACCATATGCAACGTTGCCTTATTTTTAAATAACTCTATAAATTTTCTAAGAGATAAAAAGATAGCGAGCATATATAAGGTCCAATTTATTTTCTATATAATTATTGGTATTCGGATTATTAATTAATTAATCAGATATAATATTATAAATAAACATTTCAGTTTATTTTTTATTCACAATATTAGAATTTAAAGATACATAATTATTGATGATGTTGTCACGTTTGAAGAGCACGAATGAATATCGTTAATGATGAACATCATTAATGATCAACACTATTAAATTAATTTATAAAACGTTTAAACATATAATTATAAATTAGTTAAAAATCTAAATGTAATTTAATTAAAATATAATTTATAAAACATTAGTTTTTAGGGTAAACTATACCATTGATCACCTAACTATTTACCCATTTTACTTTAACCACCGATTTCTCAATTTTTGTCAATCGAGTCACCTAGCTATTTAAATATTGTTAGTTAAGCCACTTGTCGTTAAATATTAATAGAGGAGATGACGTGGCAGTTAATAAAATTTGTATAATTATACGTTTAGTCTTTATTACTTACACATTCTATTAATTTAGTCCTAACTTTTATTTAATTCAATAAATTTAATCTTCAATCCGATGGTGACATGTGTCACTATGTGATTGAATATTTTTAATATTTTTTATTTAATAAATTTTCCATCCAATCAAATGGTGTCACGTGTCACCAATTGAATGAATGAAAAAAAATTAAATCAATAACTGTTGCTAGTGGGATTTAAACTTGGGACACAAGAATAAAATTTGAGCATCCTAACCACTAATCTAGACCATCAAATTTGTCTAGTATTCAGAACATAATCTATATAATTTATAATATAGTTAATGGTACTAAATGACCTTATAAGGACTGAAATATGAAATAATTGAATAGTATGAAAAAATAAAATAAATATATACATAATCTATATATTTTAAATGACATTTAATGCAAAAATTAAAATAAAATTGAATTTAATATGCTATAATTGAAATGTATCATTTTACATATTTTAAATTACTAAATTGTCTTCATTATTCTAATTTCATTGAGCTGAAATGTATCACATCTTCTATTTTAAAATATTATAGCGTCAATTGAATTTTAATCTTATTTAACAACTCTTTATTAAAATAGATTAATTCAATAAAATCAAATTTCCCCTAAAATTTTACTCAAATATATAATGAATAAATAATAAAATATAAATTCTTACTCTAATCGGGATATAAACAAGTCAATGTCTAAGTTAAAATGCTTACTACAATAAGCTTTAAACTATCAAGAAACTCTAAGTCAATATATATTATGTCGTGATAGGTTTTTTATTTGATGGTGCATCCTAGTGGTTTGGGAGTTTACTTCCCTCTCCTCACTATTAGTTCAAACCCCATCAGTACTGTTATTGATTCAATTTATTTTCAATTTATCCAATTGATGACACGTGACATCATTTGATTGGATGAAAACTTTATTAAATTAAATAAAAAATTTAAGAAAGAATCCAATCCATGTGAATTGTGGATTAAATTTATTGAATTAATTAAATGTTAGGACCAAATTAATAGATGTGTAATTAATGAGGACTAAATGTGTAATTATATAAATTTTATTAACTTCCACATCATCTCTTTCGTTAATATTTACATCAGGTGGCTTGATTGACAATATTTAAATAGTTAAGTGTCATGTATAGTTTACCCTAAAAACTATATTTTTTAAATATTGTATTTTTGTTAATTACATTTAAATTTTTAACTAATTTATAATTAACGTTTAGTACTTTATAATTTATGTTTTATAAATTAATTTAATAGTCCATCGTTAACGTTGCTCATCCACGCTCGACGAGCGTTGTAGAATTTTTCTATAATTATTAATATTCGATTTAATATTTTAATTTTAATATTGTATTAAAAAGATATATTTTAGAATGATCATTTTAACCTCGTTTTTTTTTCATTTACAACATTAAATTTAAATCTTTAATCTTATTTGAAAGAACGTAATGAACTAATAATTGATCAAAGTTAACTTTACGTAGTAATTAAGTAAACTTTGAAAATCTAGAAGGGGACAAAGATAATTTTATTATTGTAATTGGGACCAAACTTTAATGTCCTTTAATTTTAAAATGATACTTAAATTGTAAAATAAATGTCGTGAGCAAATATGGTTCTTTGCATTCATTGATTGAGAAAAAACATCTTGAATTTTGTACACTACGGCCAATACTTGTATGATATGAGAAAGAGAGAATAAGCTAACAAAAAATGTCATGTCCATGACGTAACACTTTGACTGTTTTTGCCAAATCCTTTTCTTCATCACGTCATTGATTTTGTCACTTAAATTGAATAGTAAAGATTTGAAATAATTGTATTGAATTAAATATTTATTTACATTTAAATATTTATTTAAATACAATCATTTATAATAATGTAATATTGATTAGATTGTTTTTAATTATATATGATTGTATATTCATTTTTTCATTTGTGTAAGTAGATTTATAATAATTTTTTATTGTTATATTGCAATCAGATGATCAAATTGAATAATATAACAAGATTAAGGTTTTAAATTTTAAAAAAGAAAAATTTATTATCAAAAAAAATTGAAGTTATATATGTATTCTACCATGGTAGAAAAGTATTTGATTAAATTTGATCAAAATAAATTAAAACGAAATAAGAAGAAATTCATAAAATTAAATGTTTAATATAAGAATAAGAACTCAAACTATATCGTTTATCTCAAATTGGTGTCTTAACTTTTTTTTTTTCCAGGTCAATCCAAGTGTCTAACGTTACAAAACGTTACACTTTAGTGCCTCGATTGAATAGTAGTTTAAAAAAGTTTTAAGTGACACGTCACATTTATAAAATTATGAAAATTTTAATTAAAATAAAAACTTATATATATATATCTATATATATATATATAATATATATAATATATTTAAAAAACAAATTTTCTCAAATCTTAAAGAATTAAAGATTTTAATTCCAAACTCAAACACCAGCTATCACCATCGTCGCACCAACCATCGCCTTCGTTAATGTGGTCTTGGTCGCCGCCATCGACGAACAACCACCTAGTGACCAATCATCGTCTCAATCTCCTGAAATCCTAAACTTAAATCACTAAAAGTTGAAACATTCAAATCTCTTGAATCTCTAAGGGAAGGATTTAGTTTCTTTAAAAAAATTAAATATATTTTTATTTTAAAAAAAATTTAAAATTATATAATATGACATGTGTCCTTAACAGACCTTTTTAACGGCAGTTATGGACAAGACACTAAAGTGATAACGTTGTAATGTTAAACACTTGAATTAACCGAAAAAAAATTAGACATCACTTTAGGAAAAAAGATATGTTTAAACACTTTTTTTATACTAAGTCGAGATTAAACTAAAAATAAAAATATTGTCGCAAATGAGAAATTCAAGCTACATAAATATTTTTATGGTGATTCTAGAGCATAGGTTTAAATTTGGTCAAAACTTAAGTTAATACAATAAAAAATTAAATAATAAAATAACTTAATTAAAAATTAAAGTGAAAATAATTTTAATTATTTTAATTTAACCAGTAGTATTTGATCTATTGATTTATCAATTTCGATCGCATTTGACATAAGCTCATTATAGAGTAACCTCCTAACTCAATTTGATACATTTATAAATTTAATATTTAATCCTTGATCTTACTTCAAATTTAAATTAAATTAAATTTTTAATTTTTAAATTATATAAATTTAACTTAACTCGAATTAAAAATTAGAAAAATAAAATCCTCCCTTTTCACATTGTTTTCGCAATGTCGTGTAAAGTAGCGATTGCGTCCCTTGCCACTGTCCATTCCTAGAGTTGAATCTCTGACGCATCTGATTTTTGTCTGGTTTCTAAAAAATGGATATAATTACCTAAACAATAAAAGTTGACAAAATGGCAATGCGTAGAGTACCTCAAGAGAAACCCAAAAATCATAATAAACACTACAAAACCCAATGGATTCATCATCTGTTAAGTTCTAGAAAGAAAATGGACACCACGGGAAAGCTTCTACTCTTTTTCCCAGCTTCTTTCTGCCTCTACCTCGTCGTCGCTTTCTTCTACATCGTCTACAAATGGTGGATCCCTCTTCGTACACAGTTCATACTGAATTCACAGGGAATCAAGGGCCTCCTTATGATCATCTATGGAAACACAAACAAGTTGTCCAGCTGCAAAGGGAAGCATCAAGCAAACCTCTGGGATTGACACATGATATATTCCCCAGAGTTATGCCTCATTTCATTACTGGATCAACAAATACGGAAAGATTCATCTCAGCTGGAATTTCGAGCTCAACTCGAAATCGCAGAACCAGAACTGGTGAAGAGGTGCTGAGAAACAGTGAAAAAGCTTTTCCAAAGAGGGAGCCTACGTATTTCTTTGAGAAGATGTTAGGCGACGGGCTTGCTTCAAACCGAGAGAAATGGTCGAGGCAAAGCTAGCCAATTCCTTTCATGGGGAGCTTAAAGGTAAATTTGACCATGTCCAGTCGTTATCTGATTCATTGACGATATATGATTCTATCGAATGTTGCAGAGATGACTCCGGCGATCATTGCTGGTGTCGAAACGATGCTAGAGAAATGGAAAGGTAAAGAAGGAGAAGAGAGATCGAAGTGTACCAGGAGTTCAGATTATTTGCTTCAGAGTAATATCCAGAACAGCTTTTGGTAGCAGCTATTTGGAAGGGGAGAAGATTTTTGACATACTGATGAAGCTATCAGCGATTGCAGGAAGAAATATTTATAAAACAAGGATTCCTATCATCAGGCAAGTTCATCGAATTAAAGTTTAGTAATTGTATTTCAATAACATCGAATTAAAAAATCAATGTTTTGGTTTGCCGTTGCAGCAATATTTGGAAATCGGCTGATGAAATTGAATCAGAAAACTTGCGAAAACAATACATGACACTGTGATGAAATCGTTAGAAAAAGGGAAGAAAAAGTAGTGACCGGAGAGGCAGAAAACTACTTTCTGGGATTACTTGTAAATGCCTATCATGAATCGGACGAGAAAACAGGCTTTCGGAACAAGATTTGGTAGATGAATGTAAAACTTTCTATTTCGCCGGGCATGAAACAACTAATTCCTTGCTTGCATGGACATTCCTCCTCCTAGCAACCCACACAGATGGCAAGACAAAGCACGAAAAGAGGTGTTGGAGGTATTCGGTAATCGAAACCGGATTCGGAAGGGATCGCCAAACTAAAAACTGTAAGCCATCTACAAGATTCTGACCATTTCATTAGCTTGAACTACACTATGAATTATATTCCTTTTCTCTGAAACAGATTACCATGATTATCAATGAAACTAAGACTTTACCCTTCTGTAAACGGAACTACGAAAAGTCGGAAGAGAAGTCCGATTGGGAAAACTTGCCCTACCTACTCCTTTAGAGCTCGACATCCGTATCATAGCACTTCACCATGACCCTGACTTATGGGGAAACGATGTTCATCTTTTCAAACCGGAGAGATTCGCCGAAGGGATTGCCAAGCTACAACTTCAATGCAGCAGCTTTTCTTCCCTTCGGGTTGGGACCTCGATCTTGCGTTGGAATGAGCTTTGCAATTACTGAAACAAAATCGCTCTCTCCATGATTCTGCACGCTACAGTTTCACATCTCCCTGCATATGTTCACTCACCAGTGCCCGTCTTGTACTCAAGCCAGAACATGGACTTCAGTTGTTGTTTCATTCACTACATGGTGATGCGTGAAACAATCGGCTGCTGATCTCCCAAAGAATTAGCATGTAATATAATTATCAATAAACAAAATGGTGTAGGAACCGTTCCTTGTATTAAGCTTGTGAATTACTTCAACGATGCGGAGAAGAGCATGAAGCAATCCCTAGTATAATTACTTAGACAAAGGGATTGATTCATTTATCTTGTGTTTCTTCAAACATCAATATTTGAAGCCTACTTATCTAATTCTAGTAGAATATCGTCTAAAGTATTTGTGTGGAACTGATTATATCTTCACTTGCCCTAACGTGAATACAGTGTTGTCATCCAATAAATGAATTCATATTTTAAAAACGTCACCCTTTTGGATAATCCATAGGCCGCTTCTAATGGCCTCCTCTTGTTCGAGCCATCGACAAGCTCCGTAGTAGAACTTGGGCAACCTTCATTGTTTGGACTCCATCAACTCCTTAGCCAAGGCTGCTGTCAATCACAACATCCACTGCCGTTTTGAGGAAGTTCCCCGGGATCTTTTACAGCTTTTAATAAGGATAGAATAAGCATGAGTTTGATGTAAAGCCTCTCCATGATTGGATATCTCTTTAATTAAAAAAGAAAGATCATTTTGATAAATAATCATTGATGAATGCGTTTTGGATTTTTTTATGTGTATATGGATAATAACCAAGCATTGATGCTTGAAAATACATCTCCACATATTTTTCTTCACTTTAAGCCCGTCTCTCATTGGGATTCATATGTATCCACACTGACCTCCACTTCTTTCAATGGCACTATGAACCCACAAACTAAGATTGATCTACCTCCAATCCAAAATAGCTGGCTGCTAATAAGTGGTCATCAGTGGACCAAAGCTTAGGAAGAAAAAAAAACAAATAAGGTGGGGTTACAACAAGCTAAACCCATATCTAAAATACTTTTGGATACATGAAAACTGATGTTAAAAATTCGCATCCAATCTTTGTAGGACCTGGAAAATTCAAGAAATTATCATTACAAAACATAAAAACCATAGCCGCCGTACTCTTTTGCGTGTATAATGCCTGATTGGGTGGCTTGAATTGATCAGCATTCAAAGTAAGTAGTCACCCACCAATTAAAAAACTTCAATGGCCTCATTTTCTTCAAAATAGTATACTAATTTATTAATGTTTGATTAGTGTGTTTATCAATGAAGCAATCTGTCTAATCTGTGAACATCAGTCCAACTTCTTGTCAAAACGCAATTTAATCTTATCATCTGCATTCTCTTTTATATAACCAGATATGGTTGAACACATGATATTTTGTATCCAACTTTCGATGAACACACATGTGAGTAGAAATTTACTCATTCGATCGATGGCCTTCGTTACCGGAAGAGATAAATGATTCCTAAATGGGATGTTGTTTTAATTTACCGTGGAAGGAGTGAATATATTCCTTAAGAATAGGACCTAACCAAGCTGAAATTGACCAAAAGATTTGACTTGAAGAGACCACCGAAAAGGACCTGTTGGAGATTCCTGAGGAGCTAATTTTAGGTCTTCAAGGCAGCCTTTAACTTTAATATAGTCGGCCAATCACATGGCGGATCGAGTCGATTGTTTTAGCATCAACCGGAATAAAGATTGTTCCCTCCATGATTCTGCAAGCTATAGTTTCACCCTCTCCCCTGCCTATGTCCACTCACCTTACGAGTCTTGTACTCAAGCCACAACCATGGGATTCCCTTGTTGTTTCGTTCCTACGTACTGATGCTTAAAATTCTCGGTTGTTGATCTCCAGAAATGATAACAGTCTTTTTTAATTAATCTTTCCTTCTTTTATGAAAATAGACTAAATAATAAATGGTTATTGTTCTTCTTCTCAATATTATGATTGACATGTCTACATACGTCATTTACTTGATTATTCTTTTTATCTATGTCTACTTTAGACACTCGGATGAATATTGATAGACACTCGTAATCACCGAAGATAGGTTATTATTGAGTTACAGTGATGTTAGTTTGTCAATAAACCATTACTGTTATATGTACTTGTATGTTGGTGTTTATCTTCACGGTCTACAATTCGTTTATTTTGCATTTATCATTTATTTGAGTACTTTGGTTTTACCTTTTATTTTCCTTCTATAATATTTTTTATTCTTAAGTGGTTAATTTGTATATTCGATAATTTTTGAGAAAACACTCTTTTGTAATATCTTTCTTGTAATTGAACCAGCAGAACCAAACATAAGTTTGGGCCTTTAAGCTACTGGGTTCGTATGATCTTAAACCAACCCAACCAAAGTACATTGGGCCGAACAAAACGATTGGAATTATAAAGGGACCATATGCAACGTTGCCTTATTTTTAAATAACTCTATAAATTTCTAAGAGAAAAAGATAGTGAAGCATATATAAAGTCCAATTTATTTTCTATATAATTATTGATATTCGGATTATTAATTAATTAATTAATCATATATAATGTTATAGAGGTCTATTTTAAAATAACCATTTCAGTTTATTTTTTATTCACAATATTAGAATTTAAAGATATATAATTATGGATGATATTGTCACGTTTAACGAGCACGAATGAGCACCGTTAATGATAAAAATCATTAATGATGAGTATTATTAAATTAAATTATAAAACGTTAAATTATAAAGTACTAAACGTATAATTATAAATTAGTTAAAATTTTAAATGTAATTTAATTAAAATACAATATTTATAAAACATTATTTTTTAGGGTAAACTATACCATTGACCACCTAACTATTTACCCATTTTACTTTAACCACCGATTTCTCAATTTTATCAATTGGGTCACCTAGCTATTTAAATCTTGATTTAATTCAATAAATTTAATTTTCAATCCGATGGTGACATGTGTCGTGTGTGATGAATATTTTATATTTTTTATTAATAAAATTTTCATCCAATCAAATAATGTCATGTGTCGCCAATTGAAAGAATAAAAAATAAATTAAATCAATTCGTTACTAGTGGGTTTTGAACTTGGGACACTAGCAAAAAGTCTAAGCACCTAACCACTAAGTGAACCATTAATTTGTCTAGTAACAGAACATAATCTATATAATTTATAATATAGTTAATGGTAATAAATGACCAACATGAAATAATTGAATAGTATGAAACTATAAAATATGTATAAAAAATATTATAATTGATTAATAAATGATTATTATTTTTTATTTTAAATGACATTTAATGTAAAATTTAAAATAAAAGTGAATTTAATATGTTATAATTGAAATGTATCATTTTACATATTTTAAATTAATAAATTGTCTTCATTATTATAATTTTATTGAGCTGAAGATCACATCTTCTATTTTAAAAATATTATAGTGTCCATTGAATTTAATTTATTGAGCTGATTTATATGTATAATTGAAATGTCATGTCCATGATTCACGTAACACTTTGACTGTTTTTGCCAAATCCTTTTCTTCATCACGTCATTGTTTTGTCACTTAAATTGAATAGTAAAGATTGAAATAATTGTATTGAATTAAATATATTTATTTACATTTAAATTTTTATTTAAATACAATTATTTATAATAATGTATTGATTAGATGTTTTAATTATACATGATCTATATATATCATTTTTTTTTATTTGTGCAAGTAAGATTTATAATAATTTGTTATTTGTTATAAGATCTAGAATGTTATTAATAAATCATTTATCATCTAAATTTATCATATATTATAATGTTATTTTTAAAATGATTTTAGAAAAAATGTCGACGAGAGTATAAAAGAGTTCAAAAATTGATGGAAAAGAATTTATAAGAGTTGCAATCTGATGATCAAATTGAATAAAATAACAGATTAAGGTTTTAAATTTTTTTTAAAAAATTATTATCAAAAGACAAATTGAAGTTATATATGTATTCTACGATGGTAGAAAGTATCTTGATTAAATTTAATCAAAATAAATTTTAAACGAAATAAGAAAGAAATTCATAAAAAATTGAGAGATTAATTATTTAATATAAAATAAGAACTCAAACTATATTGTTTTTCTTAATGGGTGTCTTAACTTTTTTTTTTCCAGGTCAATCCCAGATGTCTAAAGTTACAAACGTTATCATTTTATGTGTCTCGATCGTAATAGTCGTTAAAAAGTTTTAAGTGGCACGTGTCACATTTATAATTATGAATTTTTTATTAAAATAAAAAACTTTTATATATTATATATATATATATATAGATATTAAAAAAACAATCAAATTTTCTCAAATCTTAAAAACATTAAAGATTTCAATTCCAAAACCGAGACACCAGCTATCACCGTTGTCACACCAACCATCGCCTTCGTCATGTAGTCCTGGTCCCCGCCTTCGTCAATGTAGTCCTGGTCCCCGCCTTCGTCAATGTAGTCCTGATCCCCACCTTCGTCAATGTAGTCCTGGTCCCCGCCTTCGACGAAAACCACCTAATGACCAATCATCAACCAACTCCTGAATCCTAAACTTAAATCATTAAATGTTGAAACATTCAAATCTCTTGAATCTCTAGGGAGATTTAGTTTTTTTAAATAATAATATTTTTATTTTTAAAAAATATTTTAAAATTATATAAATATACATGTGTCATTTAATGGGTCTTTTTAACGGCAGTTATGGACAAAACACCTAAAGTGAAACGTTTATAACGTTAGACACTTGAATTAACTGAAATTTTTAGACATCATTTTAAGAAAATGATATATATATAAATATGGTGGTCTAAGAAAGTCTATAGGACCCATAAGGGCAATATCTTTTCACTTTCCAGAATCCATCAAGCGGTCTCAGTGATAAAAGGAAATATTGTTCTCCCTAAGATAATGAATTCGAGTAACTGTATCCGTAGAGTAACTAGCCCAAACTATTAAACAAAAAAAATTCCCATACCAAAATTGATTTAATTAGAAAAGTAGTAATAATTAATACAATTAATGCACGTAACCATCTGTGAAAAGAAGAGACAGAGTGATAAACTTTTTTATAAGTTAGGGTTGTAGATATCCACTAAAACAAAAGTATTAGGTTTTATTTCTTCTCTTTGAAGCTCCACATTATTCCTCCAAACCTAAATGTAATGCCCCAAACATCAGTCAGACTAGAATGTAGGATTTCAAATTTGGAGGTTTAATTTGATAATTGAAAAGTTCAAAGATTGATTTTGGAATTTTTTGTCTAGGACTTATTATCAAAGATTGAAGATTGGAAGGGCATTATGCATGAAATGAATTTAAAATTCATTTTAAAGGATATTAAAGCATGTGGAAATAAGGAAGAAAAGCCTAGACCTTTGGATATTTTCTTCTTCTCTCACCCCATAAACCCCATTGCAAAGGTGAGTTCTTTTAAAGTTGATTATTCCTTTTATTTTTGGGTTGGTTTTGAATCTTTGGTTGGTATAGAAGATTAAGGAAGCTTAAAGATGAAAGTGATTAAGGATTTAATGGTGAATTAATAAAATGGGTTTTTTAAGTGAAAGGGTGAAATTGGTTTGTAATTAGATTCTAAAGGTATATTTCACTTGTCAAAGGTCTAATTAAGGTGTTTGAAGTATTAGAAATGATTGAGAACATGTTTGAATATTGGTATGATTTTTAGTTTTAAGTGTTCCATAGAGAAATCTGGATGTTAAGGTATTAATGGATAAAATTTGGTTGTGATAATGTTAGTAAATTTAAGGGTTTGATTGGCTAAAGAATGAGATTTAGAAGTGTGGGTAAAATTTGAAGTGAATGTTGAATTATGGACAAGGGTATCGGTACTGGAAGAATAATACCAATACTATAAGGTTAAACTAAAGGAAATAATATGCATAGGATTAATATCGATATTGATTGAAGCAGTCGATACTGATGTGGAGGTATCGAAACCAAGGGTGAGGTATCGATACTATAATTGAAGATGAAGTTCCAAAATGCCAAAATGATTGATACTGAAATGGGTATCGGTACCATAGAAGAAAAATATGGTATTGTAGGAGGGGTACCAGTACTATTTAGTCTGAAATTTAAATTATGAGTTTTCGTTCCGTTTATGTAAGTGCTAATTGGTTACTCGTTAATGGAAATTCGGTATTGATATTGGACATGTCTATGTGTAGATTTGGATCGAAACGTACCGATGGAATCAGCATAGTAAGAGATTGAATGAAAGAAAGGATTTTGTTTAGGACTTACGTGAGGCAAGTGCAATTTATTTATTTATATTAAATATGAGGACAGATAAGCCCAACCTCAAAGGTTTTCGATCGAAAATAGTTTTATTTATTTTATGCATATTTTTATAATGTTTATATAAATTGTCTTTTTAAAATATTGTTTTAAATGTATTAGTATGTGAATATGTTATATGTGAATGGGTTCTACGCGGAAAGTTTCTATGCGAATGTGTGCTATGTGAATAAAAGATACTTTGAATAAGGAAATGAAAATAATTATATGGTTAAAGCCCAAGTATATGTATGAGAAATAGAGGTATAGTTGGCATGCCAAGAGTCGATGGTTCTACGCGATCCTTTGGGACAAATTTCTACGTGGTCCTTCGAGACATTCTATGTGGTCTTTCGGGACAAATCTATGTGGTACTTCGGTGCATATTCTACGTGGCACTTCGGTGCAAATTTTATAAGATGTGGTGACTACAATTATAATGCACAACCTCAATGTACTCACATACATTGATTCTCAATAATATGTTTTGGGCTCTTTAAACAAATTAATATGGATTGAATAGTATAAGATTATCAATATGTGTATGAATGGTATATTGGTTTCCATATATAATGTTTCTTGAAAATGTTAATAATTGTTTATTGTTTTATATTCATTTATGTCAACTAAGTCACGACTTAGCGTGTGAGTGTTTCATACGTAGGTTCAAAGAGATCAGAGGAGTAAAGCTAGGAAAGGACAACATACACTTGAAGAAGATCATATAAAAACAATTTGAACTGTTTATCATTTTGTAATTTTGTTGACATGTATCATAAAAGTTTTAAATTGAAATGCTCTGATCAGTTTTGTAATCTTACTATTCTAATTTATGTAAGTTATCAAGCATTTATTTTCATTTTGAATATGAATTTTTCAATATTACTTTTGTATAATGGTTGATCACTAAAAGAATACTAAAAGAATAATAAAAGGTTTAAATTACAATAAATTTTTAGAGTGTCAAAGTTTTGAAAAGTCAAAGGAACACCTCGAATTCGTATTCGGGTACGGATTAGGGGTGTTACACTAAAACTTTCAAAACATTACAAATTATGTAGTTATTATTATTATCGGTATTCCTCAATGTAATCCAACTTTGCGGTTTATAGTCTTACATTCCATCAGCAATTTTTGTCATTTGTTACCTATTGGATTACTTTATGTATAATTTATTGTTCAAAGATGTCATACATTTCTCACATTAGGGTTTAGGGTGTGACATAATTGATCATCATCCAATATTTATGACTTAACCTTGAATTTTAATGAATTCTACATCATTTCAATCCATGCATATTGCCTAAAGACATGTTTAAGGTCAAACTGTTTAATTTTAAAATTGACGAGGACTCGAGGAGTATTTAAATAAAAATAGATTAAAATTCAAAAAAAAAATCAAAATGATTGAGACTGAAGAAGTATTTAAGTTTAAGAGGGGATAAAGTTAATTCGAACATTTTCAAAATTAATAAGACCTAAAACATAATTCAACAATTTGAGAAGACTTAATGGCCAACAAGGAGTTTGATATTGTAGCATTAATAAGATAAATTGATGCATACTGTGGAAGACAACCAATTTAATTAAAAATTGAACAATGGTCTATCTTGTATGTATCCGTTCATTTGGTTTCTTCTTATGAACAAGTTAGCTCAACATAAATATGTATTTCAACATGAAAAACCAAAGTTTAATTATGTAATCTGAGGCACATATGTCCAAGAAAATCATCTGTTTGATCATTAACCTTATTCCATAAACAAAGTTGATGAGCAGCTAAAGATCAGAAGAAAGAAAAATGGTGTCCTTTACATGAGTTCAGGACAAACAGTTTCCACTTTTTATCGGATGACAACAACAAAAATCAAACATCCCCGAAGCCGTTAAAACCTGCCGCATTTAAATCAGGTAACATAAGCATAACTTGCAGAGAATGATATAAAAACCATGAAAGTAACCAGCAATGAAAAAATAATACTAGTTGAAGCAATAGATCTTAGGACAGGATATACATAATACAACTGCAATTCAACCTTAGTCCCCCGAGTCGCCAATGTATAAATATTGCATGCTAGAGTCGGCTTATGTCCTAAAAAGAGAAACACTTATTCTAATGAGTAATGATATTACTGATAGTAAGCAGACTACGGTATAACAACAGGGTATCGTTCAAATGAACCACTGAAATAGCACTGAGTTATTCTGATAACAGTGAATATACCATGGAGCCACAAGGCCTCCCATATTTTCACTTAATATTAGCATGAACGTTGTGACATTTATGAGTTTCACGAATCTCTAGTAATCAAGCTTCTAATCTAAGAATTGTTGTGAGATTCAAGTCCACACAACGCACCACAAAATGATACCTAAGTCTGAGCTATTTATCATGTTTCTTTTCAAACTCAAAACAGAATGCAGCAATGTAATCTGCAAATGGGACTTAAAACAATGTCATTTTGATTCGCAAACTCAGACATTCTGAGATATTTCACTTGCATCAGTCCAAACTTGAGGGAAACAACCGATAACAATCAAACTAATCAAAACTCATCTCAAGTAGATAATCGGGATATTCCACTTTTCTACATGTGCATCTAAAGCCTCGGTGTTCACCAGTTGAACTTCTATTTCCTTGTTACTTCATAACCACACTATCTGATATTGATCATAATCAACATAGTTGCATTGGCTAAGCCTACTATTAATTCACTTAAATAAAAGAAAATAAGTTAAATAGGAAAGCTATCTATTGTTAGCAAAACAGAATATGCAATCTCATGATCCAAGATCCAGAAAGAACTTGCAAACATTAGCCATCACTTGGCCGTTCATGATCTTAACCAAACCCATTTTTTAGAGGTGGTACATCAGCGTGAAGTACAGAACGCGTCTGTTTATAATCTCCCTATAAGAATCCCTATATTGTGGATAGCCCCATTCTGCAATATTCTAAACCATTAGGCAAGAACAACCTAATACCATTTCCAAAATATTCAAAGTGAACATGATTCTGTGGACTAAAGGACCCCAAATCAAAAAACATTGAGGCACATACCAGAATTCCCCTTTTTTCCAATAAAAAAACGAAAGGAGTCCGATATCAGGAGACAGGAAACCAGGTTCCTTGAAAGTATTGATAACGGGATGACAGAAATTCATTAATATCACAATCAACATGGAAAACTAAAAAGAAACACCTAATCGCTTCAATTGAATGCTAAGACCAAACAGGAAATTGCTATTGAACATTTAACAATAAACACCTGATTTAAGACAAAGCCCAGCTAAGAAAAATCCCGATCATACAATAACCTATCTAATCAATTCAACAAAACCCATAAAGTTTCTAACTTTAAAAGCCTAATAAATTCAAAGAACCCATCGTCAATAATGCGAAATATGAATGACTGACATCTGGGTAGCTCAAGTATTAGCAGTTTTGGGGATGAGAGGGATCGATCCGCCTTGTTTCCGGCCTGTTTCAACTTGGCCCTCTTCACGGATCTGCATCTGCAGCATCCTCTCCATGACGAGCTCGTACTCACACTTCTCGTACGGGTGGCGTTCGTTCTCGCATTTCCAGGGCAAGTAAAACTCGGCTTGCCGGCACTTGTTGAGGGGATCAAGGTGGGCGCATTGGTCCCTATGGGATGGCACTTTGTTCGCCACCATCTCTTCCTGCGTTGCTATCATCTTCTTCGATGAACCCTTCACTTCCATTCTCTCTCTCCTCTGAACCTACAAAATGCCTACTTCGTGAGATTTACCTTTGCAAATGCTTTTGTATCGTTATTGAATTTATTTACCTCGGTTAATTTAGATTTAACCTAGTAAAACAGTAATACTACTGTGGTAACTTCTTTTTTGTGCATTTTTAGATAACGTTATTATTTTGTTTAATTATGGTTTTAGTACTTTTAGATATATTAAAATTTTAAATTTATTCACTTTTTAATTTCGCATAATTTATTTTTCAACTTTAAATATAAAGAATCAAGCTGATAACATCTTTAATTGTTTTTATCAAAATAGTAATGTCTTTTATAAAAAAAAGTTTAAAAATTCAGTTGACATGTTAGGTTATTATTAATTGAATATATTGATTGAATTCTTGTATGGTACTATGTATATTTAAGAGGTTGAACTTGGTTGATATATTTTTAATATTTAAGTGAACCATAAGATTATATCTATTCAAAAAATTTCTTAACCACGTATTGACAACGTACGCACACCCTATAAATGTAACTACTCGAACCCAGAACCTCTAAAGAAAACAACACTCCCTTTTTATCAGCTGAAAACACAGTTGAATGGTTACAACCTGCAACTTTTATAATACATTAGTAAACAAGAATGAATGCCAACACCATTAATCAAACCAGAATAGTTTAGTCCAAATATGGAAGGATGACATATGATTGAAAAGCATGCAGTATTTTATGTACAATAAGCTAGAAACAGACGCAAACTAAAATCAATACAATAAGATACAAGACAGTTACTTTTCAATATTGAGAAGCATGCAGGTTTTATCTTATAAGTTATAATAAAATTACAGCTGAATTCCTCTCCATATCAGAAGCAACTTTAAGAAGCCTTCTTCTTCTTGTACCTGGAAGCGCAGACGGTGTACACCGACAAGTTCAATAAGCTGAGGGCAGCCAAGAACCAGAAGAAATAGTCAAGATGACCCTCGTTAAGGTTGTCCGGGATCCAGCCAACTTGGCCACCTTTTGTTGTGAAGTAAGTTACAACAGTCAGAATAAAAGAACTCAGGTAATTGCCCAAAGCTGTAGTTAGGAGTGAAAGCGCACTGCATAAACTCCGCATGGCATCAGGGGACTGATCATAGAAGAACTCGAGTTGTCCGATAAATGTGCACACCTCTGCAGCACCCAACAAGAAATATTGAGGTATTTGCCAAAGAATACTAAGGGGTACTGCGACCTGTTTATCAACCAAATCTAGCTCTTCTGCGAGCTGCAATCTCCTGATCTCCACCACAGCAGCTGCTGACATGCATAGGAATGAAATAAAGAGACCAATTCCCATACGTTGCAACTCTGAGAAGCCCCGTTCCTTGCCTGTGAACTTTCTTGCTATTGGGACAATTATCCTATCATAGACGGGAACCCAAAAAATAACACTGACAACATCAAAAGTTGAGAGGGAGGCGGGAGGAATAGTGAAAGAACCAATCTTTGTATCCATCATCATGCCTTGTTCCACAAACATAGTTGACATTTGGGCATAAACAGCAGAGAATACAATTCCAGTAGCCCATACAGGAAACATGCGGATCAAAATTTTCAATTCTTCTACTTGTGTTACAGTGCAAAGCCTCCAGGAGTTTGAGAAGTCCCCACTTTTAGTTTCAGCATCACTGACTATGGCAGCTTTATCTAGGCACCTGCAACAAGATGGGATTAACAAAACTAACAAAGAAAGAAGCAGTATAGCTGTTGAGACTTAAAGAAACTTGTTTGTTAAAAAAGGAAACTTCACGAGGAATAGAAAATTGAGATCAATCATTCAGAACTCGAAAAATAAATTAAGAAACTTTACTTCAACTCATCACTGTGCTCCAGTTTCCGACTTCCTTCAATGGTAGATTGCTTGTCACTTGTTTCATACAGGAGGGTACTATCTTCAGGTACCTCAAGATGCCGTTTATGAAATGCTGCAACCACGACCTGGCACATTCTTGTAATAGGGCTTCCTCCAGGTCTCTGAAATCTGTAGAGAGCTGTGCCTGAGAAGAAACTGCCAATAGCAAGGCCCATAAACAATGCTGGAATGCCAAATCCAAGACCCCATCCAGCATTGTCCTGAATCCACACCAGAAAACTGCTTGATATCAGAGCGCCGATGTTGATTGAAAAATAGAACCAGTTGAAAAAGGACCCCTTCTTCACCCTTTCTTTGGGATCAGTATCATCAAACTGATCTGCCCCAAAGGATGAGACACACGGTTTGATTCCACCTGTCCCTAATGCAATCAGATAGAGCCCAAAGAAAATACAGCATACTGAGCTGGAGTAGCCGAGGGACAAATAGAACCCACACATTCAGCAGGCTTCAGTGCAGGAATTGATGCTGAGAGAGTCAATGTACACATTCCCTGAATCAGATAGTAAATGTGTTATCGAATGCATCAGAAAGCAAAATCAAAACATATAAATAACTTGCCCATTTTAATTAAATATAAGAACCAGAATCCAGTAATCAATGACATGAAATGATGGCAATTTGATGTCCTCACATAGCCAAAAGTCAAATTCTTTACCATATAAAGTGTTGGAAGATATTATAAGAAAAAAGTTATAAATTCCCGGGTTTACATTCGAAAAGGGGTCAAAAAGTTTCTTCTATGAGTTAAACACAGAAGATACTCAGCAAAACAACTAGCTATGAAAACCGAGAACCATGCATTAATTTAAATAGCATGTGAAGGACTATGTAAAAAAATCAGGGTTAATGACATGATAAAAATTGCAGAAAACACAATGTCAAAAAAGAAAAGTAACCAAATACTATGCACCTAGGTGGTAGCTCAACTTCATGAAAAGTACTTCAGCATAATGAAGCAATAATTACACATCATATCTGATATATAACTAATTCGAGCGTAAAACTGAAAAACATCTAAAACGGATAAGACATAATTAGTGTGAATTATATTACAATGAAGTAGATGGTGGAGAAGGCAGCAATTGTCCAATATCTTCCCCAATATGCATCGGCTAAGACAGCCCCGATCAGAGGTGTAAGGTAGCAAGTTCCTTGCCAAGTAGTCACATTTCTTGCAGCCGATACATTTCCTTCATGCAGTTTCTTGGTCAGGTAGCTCACAAGATTAGTCGCTATCCCATAATAAGCCAACCTCTCACAGCATTCATTACCTACAATTATATGAAACCTGACAAGATCAGCTTCCTCAAACAAAACCCATTCAAAAGAAAGAGAAAAGAGAAGAAGATAAATTTATAATTCACCCAAAATGAAAGGGCATGCTCTCCAATTTCCAGTATTATGCTTCAAAACAGGATTCCCATTGAAGTCAACGGAGCCGTCCCCGGTGTAAAGCGCGCTGCTTTCAGCCTGGAAACACAAGAAATTGAACCATAAGTTCCAAGATAAAGAATTTCAACAACAAAAAACAACAAACCCAGAATTTTAACCATTGTCAAAGGTGTCTGGAGCAAAATCAATGGGCAGGCAAAGAAATCTCAGAGAAGATTAAATAAGAAAAACCTGATCAACATGTCCAGCTTCCAAAAGCAATCTCTCTTCATCGACAGATCCCATGATTGCTTTCGCAACGGAACCAATCAAAAAATCTAAAAGATTCAAAATCCTCAAAACAATCAGGGAAGACTAGGGACAAAACATAAGATATTTTGTCTAATTAAATTGTTATAGTAATTGCAGATAAAAAAACATTGGGTGTACATAAAGATACGTATACGGGTTTACCTTCTTACACGGGTACCGTAATTTCGAACACTTTTGGAATCTAAGGAACTGGATGGAATCCTTAAGCTCTCATTGATTCGACAAAGGTGGAGCAGTGGAATATTAGGAATAGGATTGGAGCCGGGCACGCTTCCCTATCTCAGGGCTAAGGGCTTTTATTTCACTTACCCAATAGAGATATGTGTTGGGATGTACAAGGTACCGCAGTTTTATTTCACTTACCCTATAGAGATACGTGTTGGGATGTACAAGGTACCGCATTATTAATATATGGTTAAGTATTTTATTTAAAATGTTAAATATTTTAGATAACGTATAATATTAATATTTTTGGTAAAAAATAATAATTTATATAGTATTTTATTTAAAATATTAAAAAAATATTAATATTTTTAATAAGATTTTTTTTAACTGTATATTAAGATTGTCACAAAACAGAACTGTCCCTAAGGTTGGACCATGGGTTTGAGTTTGGATTCAGTTGAGGTTAAAGTTTGGGTAAACTACTCGTATAACCACTACTAAAATATTTCTCTATTTTCACTTTGACAATATATGTTTTGATTTTATTAATCGTATCATTTAATTATTTAAATGTTTCAATCAGACTGCTTATCATTAATATTTTAAAAAAGAGATGGTGTGGTTGTTAAAATATCTGTGATCCAAGTAAAAAGGGTAAAATAATTTAGTGGTCATACAAGTAGTTTACCCTGAAGGTTTTAACTTTTAAGCCAAGAAGATACTTTTTAATTGCTTAGAGTAGGATTGTTAGAATTGAAATAGGGTGACACGTTGGATTATGGATGACAACAAGCGGATGATCAGTATTAACTATTTTTTTCTTAAAAAAAATAGTTAAAGTGATTATAAATTAATATCTTTAAGAATTTGTTTTAGACATTGATAATGTATGCACGTCTTACAGACGTAGTTGCTCGAACATAATTTTCTAAAGATAACAAAATTATCTTTTATCGTGGAAGTCATTCAATGAGTTCTTGGTATTAAAAGTTTAAATATATTTTGTTAATATTTTTATATGTTATTTTAACAATAATATCAACCAAATTATCATTTAGATACATATTTTGTTCTTTTTTTTATTATTTTAACCCTTAACATATATTATTGAGATAATATTTTAACATATGCTAAATTGATGGTGTGGTATGTATTATGTTATCTTATATGACTATATGACATTTGTTAATCATCTAAAATGATAAAATAGTAAATGTTAAATTATTCAATATGATGACGAGATATGTCGA